ACCATTTGGACGGCGGTTCAATTCCGCCCATCTCCACTCGACCACACTAAAACACCCTTACTATATAAGGGTGTTTTAGTTGCAAAAAACAAACCTGTGGAAAACTCTGAGTTTTGTCAATATAATACTTGACAAATTATATTAATATGCTACAATAGCTAAGAACCAGTACTCCCCCTTAAAGGTAGTGCACAAAAAACCAAACAAGATGAGTAATAAAAACACCCCTAAGACATTGGGAAAAGGAATAGTTACTGAAAACGGTAACTACATGATCTGTAAGGATAATTTCTACTTTTTCATGACCCCAGAAGGTAAGCACCTTGATGGGTATGAAAAAGAGTATCAGAAATTACATTGCCCACAAAAATGGGCAGAATTAAAAGCAAAGAGCCTTGTAATTGAGTTAGATGAAAATCTAGCAACAAAGGCTACTTGTATTATCGAGTCTAACTTAATTCCATTTAAGGCAAGTCTCGTGAAAAAAATGAGTACACAATAAAATCCTACGAATGTCCTAAAAAATTCAGCAACTTAAACCAGGCTGGTTAATATAGCTCAATCGTATGATTACACCTCGTAGACAACAATGTCGACGAGGTGTAATTTTATATATAAACATGGTGCAGCAAAGGAACTATATCTTATCAGAAAGTATTGATTTAGGATATTAAAAGATGGTATTCACTAATATAAAAAGCTTGTACCTATTAAAGGTCAAGCTTTTTATATTATTCCAGTCCAATCCTTTTTCTCACCAACTTCATTTTCTCCCCTGCTCTTGTGCGGGCTTTTTCTGCTCCCTGTTGTAATATCTGTTTCACAAGTTCTGGATTGTTTTCATAATACGCGCGACGCTCACGCATGGGCGACACATACGCAATAATATCCTCGTATAGGGCGTCCTTGAGAGGTTTATACTTACCCGTGTTCTCCTGATATAACTGCGCAAGCTCACCAGGTGATTTAAAGAGTTTATGGATAGCGTACACATGCTCTGGGACACCTGATCCACTGTCAGTGACGATACTCATCACGGCTTTACGGATTTCCTCATCAGTACCGAACAGTGGGATGGTGTTGTTGTATGACTTGGACATTTTTTGCCCGTCAGTACCTGGGACGGTGGCTACTTCTTTTACTACGAGTTCCTCTGGTTCAATAAACACTCCGTCACCCCACGTATTGTGAAACTTACGAACAATCTCTCGAGCTATTTCTACGTGCTGTACCTGGTCTTGTCCTACGGGTACTATATCTGCATCATACATCACGATATCCGCCGCCATGAGCAGTGGGTAGTTAAATGTCCCTACAGATATTTCCCTATTCTTTGCTTCGGCGTCCTTGAATGCATGTGCACGCATGAGCTGTGGCATGGTCGTAATACATGAAAAAATCCATGAGAGTTCAGTTACCTGTGGAACGTCTTGTTGTCGCCAAAACGTTACCACGTTCGGATCAATACCAATACCGAGCAAATCCAGGACAAGATCTGTTTCAAGTCCTATTTGGGTTTCCTTGGTTTTTATCTCTCCGGTAAGTGCGTGGTAGGTTGGGATAAAAATATAGGTATCATACTGGTGCTGTAAATCCACCCACTGTTTGAGGGCTCCAAAATAATTTCCAATATGTGCTTTACCTGTGGGTTTTATCCCAGAAAGCATTGTTTTTTTACTACTCATATAATTAAAATGAATTATATTTACTTACTAAAATTATTTCCCTAATTTCTGGCGCATCATTTCGTAACATACTACTGCGACGGATACTGAGGCATTGAGGGATTCTACATTGTTCTCCATAGGGATATGAATCAGCGCATCACAGTGCTCGCGAGTTTTAAATCGTATCCCCTCTCCTTCGCTCCCTACCACGATAGCATTTGGTGCGTCGGTAAAGTCATATTGCCAGAGATCCGTAGATCCACTGTATGGGTTTTCTGCATCAGGTTCCATCATCGCAAGTCCTACTGACCAGAAGCCTGCTGTTTTTAGTTTATCCATGGTCTGGTTGATATTTCCCACCTGGATTACCGGGATACGTCCCACCGTACCTGCAGAGGTTTTATACACCGCACTGGTGATCGGTGCCTGGTTGAGCTCAGCTACGATGATAGCATCAATACCTGCAGCAGTGGCACTGCGGATGATGGCTCCGACATTGGAAACATCAGTGAGGTGATCCAGGACGATGACACTGGGGCGAGTATCCATGTCTATCTCAGAGAGCCAAGTATCCAAATGCGTATACTCAAAAGGCTTGGAAAGTGCGACAACTCCCTGGTGGTTTACCTCGTCAGAGAGGAACTTTTTAATTTGTCCCTCGTTCGTACCACTGGTGAGGACCTTTTTTTCACTTGCGAGGTTCTTGATAATATCGATTTCTCGTCCAGTGGTCTGTTCGCGGATATAGATACGGATGAGACTTTCTGGTTTGTTTTGTAATATTTCAATGATCGGTTTGCGACCGTAGATGTAGAATTCTTTTGACATGTCAACATCATACCATAAAACTTGAATTTCTCCTAAAAATGTGTATACTAGCCCTATCCACCTCATCGGTAGATAAATTGCTAGATCGTCTAATGGTAGGACACCGGTTTCTGGTACCGTTTATCCTGGTTCGAGTCCAGGTCTGGCAGCAAAATGCTTCACATAATGAACCTTCAAAAATCACCCTTTGAAAAAATAGTTTCAGGAACAAAAACTATTGAAATTCGCTTAAATGACGAAAACCGTCAATTAATAAAAATTGATGATACTGTACAATTTTTACTTGCAGATGATAATTCTCAAAGTATCATAACTCAAGTGGTTAATATACATCACTTTAACACCTTTAAAGAATTATTTTATTTTTTTGAACCTGTAGTTTACGGAGGGAAAGCTAAAGATGACTATAAAAAAATGTATGCATATTATAACAAACAAGACGAAGTAAAATATGGTGTTATAGGTATTGAAGTAAGATTACCAAACTAACACAAAAACCTCCTAAGAGGTTTTTGTGTTGATTAGATTCTGAAACACACATGCCACGGTCACCGGACCCACTCCTCCTGGCACTGGTGTTATATAACTTGCCATCTTTGCACAGTCTGGATGTATA